CCAGTACAATTACTAGGTGTCTCCTGGACCAGTGCATATGGATCAGAGTTAGGGGTGAGAATGAAAGTGCATTACTGTGAACATGAAAAACAAGTCAGAGTGCATGGTTCGCTCCACTTAATTTTCCTCAGGGTCTCCATTACACCTTGCTGCACACTAATACATGTGGTTCGTGAGGGAGCGTATCCAAGGACACAAGGTCTCATTCCCTCGCTTCTTGGCCTTCAGCAAAAGTTTCTTTTGGAGACCTGTTTGAAAAAAATATGTGACTGACCATTCAAACGTTTGTAACTTGAAGGAGCTGGAGCAGTTTTGCTTTGAACAATGGGCAAAAATCCCAGTGGCTAGATGTGCCAAGCTTAGAGACATACTCCAAGAGACTTGCAGCTGTAATTGCTGCAAAAGGTGGCTCTACAAAGTATTGACCTTGGACTCAAGTTTTCTGTTTTTTTTTTGTCTTATTTCTTGTTTGTTTCACAATAAATATATATTTTGCACCTTCAAAGTGGTAGGTATGTTGTGTAAATCAAAAGATACAAACCCGCAAAAAATAAATTGCAACAAATGCAACAAAATAGGAAAAACGCCAAGGGGGATGAATACTTTTGCAAGGCACTGTATATGGTTAATTTAGAGTTACAGTTGAAGTCGGAAGTTTACACACACTTAGGCTAGAGTCATTAAAACTTGTTTTTAGACCACTCCACAACTTTCTTGTTAAAAACTCTAGTTTAGGCAAGTCGGCTAGGACATCTACTTTGTGCATGACACAAGTAATTTTTCCAACAATTGTTTACAGACAGATTATTTCATTTATAATTCACTGTATCACAATTCCAGTGGGTCAGACGTTTACATACACTAAGTTGACTGTGCTTTAAACAGCTTAGAAAATTCCAGAAAATGATGTCATGGTTTTAGAAGCTTCTGATAGGCTAATTGACATCATTTGAGTCAATTGGAGGTGTACCTGTGGATGTATTTCAAGGCCTACCTTCAAACTCAGTGCCTCTTTGCTTGACATCATGGGAAAATCAAAAGAAATAAGTTAAGACCTCAGAAAAAAAATTGTAGACCTCCACAAGTCTGGTTCATCCTTGGGAGCAATTTCCAAACGCCTGAAGGTACCACGTTCATCTGTACAAACAATAGTATGCAAGTATAAACACCATGGGACCACGCAGCCATCATACCGCTCAGGAAGGAGACGCGTTCTGTCTCCTAGAGATGAACATACTTTGGTGCGAAAAGTGCAAATCAATCCCAGAACAACAGCAAAGGACCTTGTGAAGATGCTGGAGGAAACAGGTACAAAAGCATCTATATCCACAGTAAAACAAGTCCAATATCGCCATAACCTGAAAGGCCGCTCAGCAAGGAAGAAGCCACTGCTCCAAAACCGCCATAAAAAGCCAGACTATGGTTTGAAATTGCACATTGGGACAAAGATTGTACTTTTTTGAGAAATGTCCTCTGGTCTGATGAAACAAAAATAGAACTGTTTGGTCATAATGACCATTGTTATGTTTGGAGGAAACAGGGGGTTACTTGCAAGCCGAAGAACACCATCCCAACCATGAAGCACGGGGGTGGCAACATCATGCTGTGGGTGTGCTTTGCTGCAGGAGGGACTGGTGCACTTCACAAAATAGATGGCATCATGAGGAAGGAAAATGATGTGGATATATTGAAGCAACATCTCAAGACATCAGTCAGGAAGTTAAAGCTTGGTCGCAAATGAGTCTACCAAATGAACAATGACCCCAAGCATACTTCCAAAGTTGTGGCAAAATGGCTTATGGACAACAAAGTCAAGTTATTGGAGTGGCCATCACAAAGCCCTGACCTCAATCCTATAGAACATTTGTGGGCAGAACTGAAAAAGCGTGTGCGAGCAAGGAGGCCTACAAACCTGACTCAGCTACACCAGCTCTGTCAGGAGGAATGGGCCAAAATTCAACCAACTGATTGTGGGAAGCTTGTGGAAGGCTACCTGAAACGTTTGACCCAAGTTAAACAATATAAAGGCAATGCTACCAAATAGTAATTTGAGTGTATGTAAACTTCTGACCCACTGGGAATGTGATAAAAGAAATAAAAGCTGAAATAAATCATTCTCTCTACTATTATTCTGACATTTAACATTCTTAAAATAAAGTGGGGATCCTAACTTACCTAAGACAGGGACTTTTTACTAGGATTAAATGTCAGGAATTGTGAAAAACTGGGTTTAAATGTATTTAGCTAAGGTGTATGTAAACTTCTGACTTCAACTGTATTTATGCAACTTTAGTTGTGATACGTTTTGATGTTTAATACATTCTAAGGCTGCATGATGGGACTCCAACAATTATTTGAAAAAAGTCGCAAGCTGCACAGACTTCATCAGTCTCTCATTCACAATTTGACAAGCAGTTGATAATATTCTTACCAGGCCTCAAATTTACCGGCGCCATCTCCCTTGTGTGGCGGTAATGCCCCCTAAAAAATCCATGCCATTTTGCGGCCAAAGCTCCTTAACACCTCTCACTCACATGATTCTCTTAGATGTAGCCAATTCCCGTCACGTGATCGGGTCGTTCTCACAGGCATTTCAGCTAAGAAGTAGGCTTCAAGTGAACGAAGACAGACAAATCGTCTCTTATCAAATTCCGAGGCGCATATTGAAGATGTTAGAATTATCCACATTTAGCCTACTTTTCGTCAGCCAACAAGATGAGTAGGCCTAACGAACAGTAAAAGCACTAGCCTATGTCAGTCTACTATCGCCAATAGTACAAAGTTGACATAATCTTTTCGTCAACTTGTCCTTCTGTGCAATAAATAAATATTCCAAAGATACTCTGGGATAGTTGTGGGATGCGATTGATCCCAAATGAATACAACCACTCACATCAAAAAAAACTTTAAAGCAATGAGGCTGATCGTTTAGCTTAAAATCTTTATAAAATATTAAGCTATTTTTTCATATTATAAGCGCAGCAATGTGCACACGGCAGTAGGCTATAAGGGCGAATGTTCCAAAATGCAATCAATTGTTCTCGAAAGTGACGGCAAATGCGGTTATGCATGTAATGCTTTATTATAAAGGTGCATTTTTATGGTGAAGATTATCTTCCCCAAACTTGAAACTCATGCGCAGCCTATGTATGCCAGTTAGGCTCTACACCGGTTATAAAGATGATTAATTTGCTTAATTTTTATAAGTTATTTGGACACTTTAGTTGTGATACAAACCTTATCAAAACATATAGGCCTATGGGCTAGGCTACATGAGGTGTGCGACTGATTTGAAAAAGTCACACAAAAAAGGTATGCGCTGTTTCATGCTTTAATGCACAAGTTGGGCATCATTCACAAGCGATAATACATCATTCACAAATGATAGCCTAATATTGTCACCCTTCAGACTATTCTTAATTTAATGTTGTCTTTACATATACTAAATAATATATGTGATATTATTTTTGATTTAGAATGGACCATTATCATGCACCTGTCTCGGAACAGGGGCATGGGAAATAAAATATGTAATGCACTTAAATAGCAAATGGAGGACTATGCACTTAAATAGCGAATGGAGGACACTTTTTTCCCATGGTACATTTTCATGCCAGCCAGGTAGGCTATACTCCTGTTGTAAAGCAAAGCAATGTGCTTAATATTAGGAAACTTGACAAATAAATATAGAAGGCCTTGCCTATAGAAAGCTGATGGGATCATCCTCTTTTTAATATAGGCCACCAACTGTTTTTTTACAAGCAATTGCATAGCCTATAGAAATGTTGCATTACATGAGCACTTATGAAGTGTTTGATTAGATTTTCGATAACATTTGCATTGACGTCAGAGTGATTTAGGACAATAGAGTGCTGACTACCAGGCAGTTATTAAGTTTGGTAGGCTACTAATGACCATCAGCAGCATCAGAGCTTGGAGAAGCCTAATTACCGTGACTAAACGGTCACGTGGAATTTGACTGATGTCATGACTCGTGAATCACTGTAACAGCCCTAGTTGCACCACAACATAAGCAATCAATAGCCGTTTTGAGAAACACTGTAACGCCCTACCAGAATTTCCCCTCAGATCGAAATGGTAATTCTGAGGGCCTCTTTTTGAACAATAACCGCAAGAGTGGGGGAGAAGAGACTTACTCTCTGGGTCGCCATTTCTGTTCAAAACTAACAGTAGATGAAGATAAAAAAGTGGAACACAAGCAAAACCATGATACATATTTTATCTACATCAAAGACAACTTACCATTGGCTCGAGGCCCAGAATTGACCTGCAAAATGTACAAAATCAATACAAATATTTAATGTATACTGGTAGAAAGGGGAATGTCAAGATTCAACAGACAGGGAAATAAGAAATTCTACACAAAGCCCAGCGATCCCTAGTGTATTTGAAATAAAGTTGCTTCTGGAATGACAACTAATGAAACTTTATTTACATATCGATTGTATCATTGCAAACACATTAACAATGCCATTTTATCATTATATAGTCAACCAAACAAATTGTCACAATGCAAATAACTTTCTAGCCTACTAAATATCAAAACATAATAACCTATGATAATAACGCTACCTGCGAGTCTCTCTGACCATGATCTCCACTCATTGTCAATTTGCTTGTAAAGCATAGACACAAGATGCCCAAGGTAAGAATATGAGGTTGACGGAGTAGTCTGGATAGACTGGAATCATTGCGCACTGGGTCTGGTTTTCTGGCAACTGCCATGCTGAAATCAATTAAAATAATGTTGCCTTCTGTCCTACATGGTTCTTCCCTACAACAGTTCACTGATTTCTGGTAAGATCACGTTAGAAACATGGAAACCGATGAGAAATAGGGTTACCTTCTGAATGACAGTAAATACTCAATTGTCAGCCTGCAATGCAAAGGTGACAGCATTTAACCATATTAAAAACGGTATATGAAACAATTCATGCAGCCATTTAAGTGTGAACTTTTACAGAATTTCACAGTACAACTTTGGAGGTCCAACACATTAAACCACTTCATCACAGGACAAATAAGTAGTAGAAAATTTATTCAGTTTTACAACATAATTATACAATTGAGGGAAGTTTTATTATCAGTCTTCACATGATTAATTAAACACACACAAACGCATCCTAGCTACAACCTCACATGATAGCAGGGACAAAACATAAACAATTATTTGTCAAATAATTATCTGTACATTTTCACCATCAAAAATTCATAATCCTGGAGAAAAAAAGCTAATCGAATGATTGACAGACAAAAATACATTTACAGTTCAGTTCAAGGGTTTCACTACTGTGGTCATTTAGACTTCCTTCTCTTAGCCTGGGTAGGACTGGCACCTGTTTCTGAAAGGACACACACAGAGACAGAGAGCGAGAGCGAGAGACATGTTTGATGAGACGAATATCTTTCAAATAAAAACTTAAGCTATATGTAAGAGTATGTTATGTCAGCGAGTTTGTGCCCTAAATCAGCGGGAAGTGTGTGTGTGTGTGTACCTTTAGCAGCGGCACTGGCTCCAGGCCTGGCCGGTCTCTTCCTCTGCATGCTGTCTGCCACAGTCTCCTCCTCCACCTCCTTGTCGGCCCGCGAGCTCCGTCTGCTAGGACCCTTCGGCTTCTCCACGGCAGCCCTGATAGATGCCCGACAGAAAACAGAGCCACAGACAACAGGGGAGATAGAAAAGAAAAGCAGGAGAGGTCATTTACAAAGATAAAAGGAGTAACTACAGTAGCTACCCAGTAAAAGCTGGAATATCGCTCCGGTATTCCTCTGAGTTGGGAAAACCGCTTCGGATTGGGCTGTTTTTCCTCGTCTACCACAGATACTGTCCGTCTTCACCGTAAATGGTATCCGATAGATAACAAAATGGTGGACACGACAGGGCTGCTGCGTGCGTCCTGGCAGCGCTCACGTGTAAATACATACCTTGAGACTAAGTTGACGGGCGTCTTTCTTTTCTTTGCCCATCTGTGATAGAAGTGGAAAAACAGCGGTAAACTAAACTGTGATGAAGCTGAACAAACATGGTTTTAGTCCCCCAACATACTCTTAGTGATAATAATCATCCCCAGAAGAAAACAATCATCATCAGACATGGCCATATTCATACTCAATTAGTACAGCCAAGTTCTTATGTAGTGGTAGTACTTGTCGTCTTTTGACATTTGGATATAGTTTGCATGCTAAGCATACATACACTATATATACACAAAAGTGTGAGGACACCCCTTCAAATGAGTGGATTCTGCTATTTCAGCCAAACCGTTGCTGACAGGTGTATAAAATCGAGCATACAGCCATGCAATCTCCATAGACAAACATTGGCAGTAGAATGGCCTTACTGAAGAGCTCAATGACTTTCAACGTGGCACCGTCATAGGATACCACCTTTCCAACAAGTCAGTTCGTCAAATTTCTGCCCTGCTAGAGCTGCCCGGTCAACTGTAAGTGCAAATATTGTGAAGTGGAAATGTCTAGGAGCAACAACGGCTCAGCCGCAAAGTGGTAGGCCACACAAGCTCACAGAATGGGACCTCCGAGTGCTGAAGCGCATAGCGCCTAAAAATTGTCTGTCCTCACTTGCAAAACTCACTAGCAACGTCAGCACAAGAGCTGTTCATCGGGAGCTTCATGAAATGGGTTTCCATGGCCCGAGCAGCCGCACACAAGCCTAAGATCACCATGCGCAATGCCAAGCGTCGGCTGGAGTGGTGCAAAGCTTGCCGCCATTGGACTTCGGAGCAGTGGAAACGCGTTCTCTGTAGTGGTGAATCACGCTTCACCATCTGGCAGTCCAACGGATGAATCTGGGTTTGGCAGATGCCAGGAGAACGCTACCTGCCCCAATGCATAGTGCCAAGTATACAGTTTGGTGGGGGAGGAATAATGGTCTGGAGCGGTTTTTCATGGTTCGGGCTAGGCCCCTTAGTTCCAGTGAAGGGAAATCTTAACACTACAGCATACAATGACATCCTAGACTATTCTGTGCTTCCAACTTTGTGGCAACAGTTTGGGGAAAGCCCTTTCCTGTTTCAGCATGGCAATGCCCCCGTGCACAAAGTGAGGTCCATACAGAAATGGTTTGTCGAGATCTGTGTGGAAGAACTTGACTGGCCTGCACAGAGCCCTGACCTCAACCCCATCGAACACCTTTGGGATGAATTTGAATGCCGACTGCGAGCCAGGCCTAATCGCCCAACATCAGTGCCCGACCTCACTAATGCTCGTGGCTGAATGGAAGCAAGTCACTGCAGCAAAGTTCCAACATCTAGTGGAAAGCCTTCCCAGAAGAGTTGAGGCTGTTATAGCAGCAAAGGGGGGGGGGGACCAACTCCATATTAATGCCCATGATTTTGTAATGAGATCTTCGACGAGCAGGTGTCCACATACTTTTGGTCATGTAGTGTACCACATGGCTCATTGATTTTCCTCATGTAACCCCCCTGCCCTTGCCAACCAAATTAACTCCCTGAATTTCAGTTGTTACAAATGTCTAAGCATTTCTGTTTACAAACATGGCACTTACTGTAGACAAGGCAAACTACTAACAAAGACTTAGAGAATACTGATGATAACCTTTACAGGCAATGGAATAACCCAATCACCCCTGGCATGACAAGTATTTATTTCATACTGACATTTTGTTAAGTTTGAAATATGTCTTGAGAACCTCACCCTTGCTCGGTTACAGTGGCAACTTCTTCTGCTGTAGAAGGAAAAAATACAAACAAAAAAGTTACTAAATATCACAGCAAGCAGCATGTTATGTTCACAGCATACAGTGCATCATTTAAAGCATGGTCCCAGAGCTGTACAAGTATATTATAGCAAAAGCATTTTCAGATTTGGTCCCAGACTATAACATTACTTAATACACTATATATACAAAAGTATGTGGACACCCCTTCAAATGAGTGGATTCGGCTATTTAAGCCACACCCGTTGCTGACAGGTGTATAAAATCAAGCACACAGCCATGCAATCTCCATAGACAAACATTGGCCTTACTGAAGAGCTCAGTGACTTTCAACGTGCCACTGTTATAGGATGCCACCTTTCCAACAAGTCAGTTCTTCAAATGTCTGCCCTGCTAGAGCTGCCCCGGTCAACTGTAAGTGCTGCTATTGTGAAGTGGAAACGTCTAGGAGTAAAAACAGCTCAGCCGCGAAGTGGTAGGCCACACAAGCTCACAGAACGGGACCGGCGAGTGCTGAAGCGCGTACAAATCGCCTGTCCTCGGTTGCAACACTCACTACCGAGTTCCAAACTGCCTCTGGAAGCAACGTCAGCAAAATTATTGTTAGTTGGGAGCAGCATGAAATGGGTGTCCATGGCCGAGCAGCTGCACACAAGCCTAAGATCACCATGCGCAATGCCAAGCATCAGCTGGAGTGGTGTAAAGCTCGCCACCATTGGACTCTGGAGCAGTGGAAACACGTTCTCTGGAGTGATGAATCACGCTTCACCATCTGGAAGTCCAACGGACGTATCTGGGTTTGGCAGATGCTAGGAGAACGCTACCTGCCCCAATGCAAAGTGGCAACTGTAAAGTTTGTTGGAGGAGGAATATTGGTCTGGGGCTATTTTTCATGGTTCGGCCTAGGCCCTTTTGTTCCAGTGAAGGGACATTTTTACGTTACAGCATACAATGACATTCTAGACTATTCTGTGCTTCCAACTTTGTGGCAACAGTTTGTGGAAGGCCCTTTCCTGTTTCAGCATGACAATGCCCCTGTGCACAAAGCGAGGTCCATATTGAAATGGTTTCTCGAGATCAGTGTGGAAGAACTTGACTGGCCTGCACAGAGCCCTGACCTCAACCCCATCGAACACCTTAGTGGAAAGCCTTCCAAGACGAGTGGCGGCTGTTATAGCAGCAAAGCAGCAACTCCTTATTAATGCCCATGATTTTGGAATGAGATGTTCGACGAGCAGGTGTCCACATACTTTTGTAGTGTAACTTGTCCTTCTGTGCTGTAGTAGTTACATTTTATGGTGCCCTCATCATATACCGCAATCTTTGTATATGTTATGGGATGTTCCATTTGTGCTCTGTTACCAAGAAGCCATATCATGTCATTACATAAAGGGTCCGGAGCATCCACCATTTTCTTATAGATCAGTTAGTGTGACAGTACTTACCAGTCTTTTCGGTAGCTGCAGGCTCCACTTGCTGTAGCGGTTCAGGTTGGACTGACACTGGGAGGAAGGACATGGTGGAGGTTATTATTATCACTGAAAGGTCGACATGTGAGGAATAAGTTACTCAATCATTGATTGATTGATTGATTAGTACCTGGGGTGATCTGGGTATTCGCCGCAGGTGCTGGGGCCTCTGGTGGGGCTGGCTGGCTGGGAGCCTCCATGGCTGTGGGGACAGGCTGAGCCCCAGTAGGGGTAGGGGCCGCTGGGGAGGATATGGCTGAGGAGTCCCTGGGGGGGTTGGAGGGTCCAGGGGTGGCAGCAACAGGAGAGGTAGATTGGGAGAGATTTGGTACCGGGACTGGGGCTGAAGGAGGAGCCGGATCAGGGAGAAACGTAGCAGTGGTAGGAACAGGGGCAGTAGTAGGGATTGGGGTGTTGACAGGGACTAAGACTGGAGGAGGGGTGGTGGGGGTAGAGGCTGGGGCAGAAACAGGGGATTGGGTTGGTGCAGCAGGTTGAGCACGGACAGGAGTTGGAGCTGATACGGGAGGAGGACGAGTGGTGACTTTCGGAGCAGCAGCAGAAGCAGTCTGAGTCTGTGCTCCAGACACCGTGGCCTCAGTCTGGGTGAGAGATGCAGGGGAAGTATGAGGGGGCATATCCCCAGCGTTCAGACCTGTCTGGAGCTGGGAAACCCCCCCTAAAGGCTGGGCTGGCCGTTCCTTAGAAACCTGCTGGGAATCTGGTGGACTACTCAATGGTGCAGAGCCAGGAGCCTGGACAGGCTTGCCCTGGGCAGCCGGGGACGGGGAGCATGGAGGAGGGGACCCTAAGGGCTGCTGGAAGGGAGACATGGCAGACGCAGAGGCTTTGGGATAGGGGCTGGGACGGCCGGACGGCTGCCCAACTGGCGGGCTAGATTTCTGGCCGGGGGGCGCCTCACCAGGGGTCTCTGGCTTGGGAGTGCTAGGGCTTTGCTGCTGGGGAGGAGGCAGGTTACTAACAGGGACAGGGGAAGCCTGTCTAGTGGCCATCTGGACCTGCTCACCAAGCGTTCGGGCAGGCTGGGTGCTGGCCACACTGACCACAGAAGCCTGGGTCCAGGCAGAGCCTGTGACTGGGGCTTGGGCCTGGGTTGGAGCAGTGGTGAGCTGGATATTAGTGGTGGACACCTGTATGGGTCCTTCCATGGTGATCGGCTGGGACACCATTGTGGTGTTGGGGGCCACAGACGCAGAGGGGACCTGGAAGATTGGGGTACCGGTATTAATAAACACAGGCGTGGTAATGAATTGGGGCCGGGGGGCAGTGGTCTGATGGCTGAGCTGCTGGGGTCTGATGTTCTTATTGGGCATGGCCACCATAGTGGAGACGACGGCTGGGGGTGCCTGGGTGGTGGAGGTGGAACTGATAGGGTTGGAGGTGACAAACACGGTTATCTTGTTGGGGGAGATGGTGGCAGAGGACGCAGGGATCTGCAGGACTGTGGACACACTGGCCAGGGGTTTAGGGCTGGGGATTGGTTTGCGGCTAACTGCAGGGTTTGAGTTAGGGTTTGGGCTGGGGGAAACGTTGAGGCTGGGACTACTGTGACTGACTGTGGCTGTGTTGGGGCTAGCGCCCACACTGACACGGAGACTAGGAGTAGGGTTTAGAGTAGGGCTGGAGTTAGAGTTTAGGTTGGGGCTAGCAGTCGGGTTTAGATTGGGGCTAGGGCTGGGATTAGCATTAAGATTAGGGCTTGCATTAGGCTGCAGGTTAGGACTACCGGCTGGATTTGGGAGTTTGGAGCTGGGGGTTGAGCTGGGCTTGGGTTTAGCTTCTGGCTCGTTCACAGCAGCAGCAGTAGCAACAGCAGTAGCCCCCACATCTGAGCTCTGAAAAGCACTGGATGGGTTATCTTGATCTATGGAGGCTTTTGTGCTCTCCTTGCAGATAGTATCCCCAGCCAGAGCACTCCGAGTGGGCCTGGCAGGCACGCTGGGGGTGGCTGCGTTATCCAGCAGCTGGTTGAGGGAGGTAGGAGCATCCCTGAGAGCATGAGAGGCCTCATACACAGATACAAACTCCTGCTGAGGAGCTTTCTGTACAGGCTGCCTCTCCCCTGCTACCATCGTGTGCTCAAGCCCAGCTTTAGCCTCCTGAGGAGTTGGGACACGAGGGCTAGCTATCCGGGAGGCAGGGAGCTCCCTCAGAGGCTGGGGCATCTGCCGCTGCTCTACACCTGCCATTCCTTGCCCTTCCCTGGGCATCTCAGCTGTGTTACCCTGGAACCCCTGGAAGGGGCTCTGGATCTGATGGGCCTCCAGGCCCACCCCAACCGCTGGTGGGATAGAGACCGGGCTAGGAGGCACTGGGGTAGGGCTCAACATCATGGTCTGCGCTGTCTGGGGGTTGACTATGTGTTGCTGGTGAGGAGGGGAGGTTAGGGCAATCTTGGCCCCCTTCTGCCTCCCCGGGCTGGGGGTAGTGGCTTTGCGGCCGGAGGCAGGGCTGGATCTGCGGCTGTTACTGGGACTAGCCCTTTTAGCCTGCCCTCCTCCAGACTGCTTGTCCTGTTTCCCCTGGCCTGAGTTGGCCATTCCACTGCCTGTAGGGAAAGACTGCTGACCGTTGTTAGAGTTACCTCCACCACTTCCATTGTTGCTGGGCATAGTTAGGCTGGGAGGGGCCTGTCCTATGGCTTTGAGAGTGGTGGGGTTGAGCCCACCCTGCTGGTCGAAGCCCCGGCTGAGGTTGGGCTGCCTGGGGGGGAGAGGGATGTTGATCTTCGGTGGAAACAGGCCTGCAATGGAGGCGTTCAGCCTCTCAGGGGAGAGGTTGATCTCAGAGGGCTCAGTGCTGGGAGGACGGTTGGTAGGGGTGAGAGGGTGGTGGTAGGGCCTGGGACTGGCCCGGTTGGGTGTTTTCGGCCTGGAGCTCTGGGAGGTGGTGGCGACGTTAGGGAAGTGGAGGCCTGGCATGGGGCCACCCTGCTGGGGCTGAGGGGGCAACTGCTGTTGAGGGCTGGCTCCAGGGTGCTGGGGCATTGGTGAGGGGCCGAGGCCTTGCTTCATCATGTGGGCGTTTGGGCCCTGGTTCACCACCATCTGTTGGGCCCCGTTCCCAGACTGCATCACCATCTCCTGGCCCCCGGGTCTGTCCTGCAGGGAGTGGAGCCCACCAGGGGCCTCTTCAGCCCCTGTACCCTGGGGACCAGGTCCTGCCTCGGGGTGAGACATCCGCCGGGCTGCCCCAGCCATCTACATAAGTAGAGAGAGAGAGAGAAAAATGATACACACACACCGGGAAATTAATTAATTAATTTGTCCAAACTGCCAAAGTCAACAGGCATAGAACATTTACAAGACAATAACAATAAATATGATATAATTCCATTTCAAAACATCTATCAGATAGTGTGTTCAACCTGTGGGTTGACCATGAGGGGCATCCCTCTGGGTTTGTCTGGGGAGGGGGGCACTCCTCCGTGCCCCTGGAGGTTGATCATGACGGGCATGTTGCCCTGCTGGGAGCCAGGCATCCTCTGGGCCTCCCCGGGGTTCACCATGCCTCTGGGGGGGTGCTGCCCGCCTGGATGGAGGGGCATCCGGCTTTTAGCCTGCTCCTGCTGCATCTTCATCATCATCAGCATCTGCTGCTATAACACAACGGGAACAAATTAGCTATATAATCCATAGTTAACATGGAAAATGTGTCTTTTGACGACACACACACACAGGCAGTCGATGGTACCTGCTGTTGCTGCTGCTGATGGTGTGGTTGTTGCTGCTTTTGTTGTTGTAGCTGATGAGGGTGCATCTGTGGCTGGCCTTGAGTCTGACCCAGAGCTCCAGCCACCCCCTGCTGCTGTCCTGGAGGAACCTGCATTCCCTGCATCTGCTGTTGCATCTGCAGCTGTTGCTGTTGCTGCTGCTGCATTTGCTGTTGCTGCAGCTGCTGCTGCTGCTGCTGTTGCAGCTGTTGCATATGCTGCATTTGTTGTTGCTGTTGTTGTTGTTGTTGTTGTTGTTGTTGTTGCTGCTGCTGCTGTTGCATGAACTGCATGGGCACCTGCTGTAGGACTCTCTGGTCTCCAGGCTGACCTGGGAAACCTGACATGAGAGAAAATGAGTGATAAGAAGCCACTTAACTAAAATATAACATTGTGAGTGAGCAAACCAAGAAACATGAACATGGCATACCTGCAGGCCTGTTGGTGAAGTCTGAAAGTTTGGGTCCAGAAGGGTCCATGCCCACCCCCTGTTCCCCACTCGGTCCTGGCAGCTCTGGGTCCTCCAGGCCAGCACCCACTTCCAGACACCTGGGGAGAAGAGAAGAAGAATACCTCAATGACAAACCATGTCCAATACCGACTACCTTATGAGGATATAGCTTTATATTTCAATAAAATTCAGCTATCTACCCTAGCCCCTCCATCGGCTGCTGTCCCTCCCCTACTTTGGGCTTCTTCTTGCGTGGTGGTTTCTTCTTCTTGGGTTTGGCCTGGCCAGGTCCTCCAGCCCCCTGCTTCCCCCCAGGTCCAAACTGACTGGCCGAGATATCACTCTGGAGCAGGTTGACCAGGAGAGGACTGGTCAGCGTCACGTCCTTGTTCACTGGGAACCCCCCTGCCTGAGCGCACGGCCCACTCATGGGCATTTGACCCCCGAACTGGGGGTTGAAGTTCATCCCATGACCCGAGAAGTGGCCGTTGCCCACCTGCATGTGCTGGGGGCCTCCAATTCCCATCATGCCTTGCTGCTGTTGCTGACCCTGCATGTCCTGGAGCATTTGTTGGACACTGCCCATGTCGCCTGTGCAGCCACTGGGTTCTCCGAGAGCGTGTGGGTGTTGCTGCGTGGCCTGTTGTTGCTGCTGTTGTAGCATGGCTTGTTGTTGTTTCTGTTGTTGTTGGAGCTGCTGCTGCTGTAGCTGCTGCTGGACCAGAGGATGACCACTGGGGAGTCTCATCTGTTGACCGTGCATACCCATGGCCTGGTTGGGGTTGCCGCCCATGGGGACCTGAACAAATTAAGGCATGAGCAAGTGAAATAACACCCTTTAAATGCTACCCAGAACGGAAATTGGGTTTTCCACCATCAATTGCCACAGTGCAAATAAAAAAGGAAAATAAGTATTGAAATACTTGTTGGGGCTGCTGCTGGGTCATCTGTTGTTGTTGCTGCTGTTGTAGCTGGTGTTGCTGCTGCTGCTGTTGTTGGAGTTGAGCCATTTGCTGCTGCTGTTGATGCTGCTGCTGTGGAGTCATCTGTTGCTGCTGCTGCTGTTGGCCCACCTGAGCTTGCTGGAACTGAGACATGTTACCGGGCACGTTAGGAGACGGACCCCGCATCATCTGACCTGGCATGACCCCGGCTTGACCTTTCACCCCAAACGCCTGTTTGTTTCCTTGCATCTGTTGCATCTGTTCCATCATGGAGTTTTGCTGTTGTTGTTGCTGCTGCTGTTGTAAGAGCATCGCCTGGTGCCCCTGCCCTCCAACCACCTGGCCGTGCATCACCCCTTGGCCCTGCTGGGGCATCAGCTGCTTGGGTGGGGTCATGCCTCCTCTCTGCCCGGGGTTGAGGGGTCTGGAGAGGACCGTTTGCCCCGGACCCCCACCCTGGACCATCTGGCTGGGGGACGAGGACACAGGCTGGCCCTGGAGGCCCATCATCTGGGTCTGGATGCCGGGCTGGCCCATACTGGGGCCTGAGGTAGTGCCTGGGGGCTGGCCGTCCATGCCACTGTGGAGGCCAATGACGTTGGGCTGGGAGTGGGATGGACCTTGGATGGTGTTGGGGTTGGAGACTGATGACTGGGCCCCTGAAATCAGATCATAAGAGAATGACACTGAAGTTGGCATGATACAGCCTAAATCAAATCACTGTATTGTCTGCTGGGTCAGTCCATTTGATTTGAATCACTTTTTGACCGCACCCCTTTGGATTTTAACTAAAAACTTTCCATACATACTTGCCCATAGTAGAAGTGGTCAGAAAGTGACTTTTTAGACCTGAATGCCAAAACATTCAGGAGATAGAGGTGCCCAAAGTTGACTCATTTTGCACACCCCACCATACCATGAGACATCCATGTCTTCATCACTGGTAAAAAAAAAAAATACAATGGTTGAGTTTGATATAATTTAAAAGCTTACAAACAGGGTTGTCAAACTATTTGATAATTTCTTGAAAAAAATAGGTTTTATATATATATATATTTAAAAAAACTTTAACATCAGCTATCTAAAAACGTGCAAACTGCAATTGTTTTCCATTTTCGTATACGTTGTAATTTAGACCCCATTGTACATAATCTGAGGTGTCTGTTGTGCCCGCCATCGGTTGAGACAGAGCATGCTCTTGAATACAGGGTGGGTGTCATACTTTGGCTGATAAATGCACTAAAATGGGAATAGCATTGACATTTCAACTTTCAAATGGTACCACAAAGATGGTTGGAGGTCCACACATCAGAGAATGTTGACTTGTATGAAAATATCAGTTGTTTTAACTTACACTGTCAATCTTCCATATGAAACCATAGAAATATAGATAATAGACATTACCATTTAAGTTGACATTCGACAGTGGGTGGACCGGTGGCCATCTTTGTGGTAGTAATTGGAAGTTAACATTTCTATTCAAATAACATTTTACTGGTGTGCGGTCAAAAAGTGATTGAAATCAAATGGAACGACCCTGCTATTAACCCTTTTCTCTCGTATATAGCTGAAAGGTATCGTTTTAACTGTGCTGATCTATTGTCTTGTACCTGTGTGTGCCATTGCCTGGGTGCTCTGGAGCTGGGGATTGGCTCCTCCCCCAGGGGTTCCTGGGGCGCTAGTCACTTGACCCTGGACAAAGTTCTGGTTCCCTGGGACGTTAGGGAACCCCATGGGCAGACGATTGGGCATGCCTGTGATCAAACACAACCGTGGGGAATTTCATCAGCCCAGCATACATGGTCATTGTAGTAAGTCTGTATTACACTTTAAATGTCTGAATATTACTTTGATTTAAGCATGAATTGTGTTACTAACTAATAAGTAATTTTAACTAATAAAGGCAATGCTTCAGGAGATCTTTTGTGGCCATGGAACAAACCTGTGAAAGTGAATGCATAATTTGTAATCATCTGCAGTAGTTCAATTTCTTACCTCCCATTCCTCCTTGATGAACCTGAGGTCCAGCCTGCCCATGTTGGGGCATTCCCATGAACACTTGCTGCATGTTACCCTGCTGTCCCAGTACCGCCCTGCCCGGTGAGCCCACCCCTTGAGGGAAACCCTGTGGGGTCGTAGGTCGCAGGCCCAGCTGGGCCTGACCCATCATGGGAGGAGTCCCTGGAGAACCCTGCTGGAAGGGGGAAGGTGAAGACCCAGGAGACTTGGCTGTGAGGTTTCCCTGAGGCCCTGCTGAAGGAGGCAGAGGTGGTGGAGGTCTAGGGGGTCCTGCCACCCCTCCATGCCCACCTTGTGGACCTTTAGGCTGGGGGGCCGCAAACTGACCAGCTCCTGGCTGCTGCTGTTGCTGGAGCTGCCCCTGCACCATAGCATTAAACACCTGGCCAGCCTGTTGGCTACCAAACGGGTACGGAGGTGGAGGGTGGCTGGGGGTCTGGACCGTAGCCAGCGAGGGGGGACGTTGAGTCATCTGGGCCTGGGGAGGGGCCTTCCTCCAGGCTGGGCCCATGGGTCCTCCTTGGGTTGGCGGGGGCTGGAGGACCCCTGAGGGGAGCTGGTTCCAGCCGGAGGGTACAGGCATCTGGCCAGAAGGGTTGAAGGGGGGACGGGGGCCACCAAGCTGGGAGAGCTGGGCTTGTTGCTGGGCCTGCTGCTGTTGCTGCAGCTGCTGGAGGGCAGCTGGGTTGAGCTGCCTACCCACCTGCATGGTCTGTGCTCAAAATACAGCCTTTATAAATACAGTACACTCCTGATACATTTAATCCTTGCATTCATTTGTAGTATTGATAGTGATTATAATGCATTGTTATTGTTAAGCTCCATTAGTGATTGTATACCTGCATGTGGTGAGCTGCCTGGGGGGGCATGGGTCCTTGGCCGTAGGGGCCAGCCTGGGGACGCTGAAGCTGCTGCTGCAAGGACATCATGGGGCCCATTGCATCTGAAGGAGGAGGGGGGGACGTATACGGTCAATACCTTTGAAGAAGTTTAGGGCTGACCCCATTTAGTCGACCGGTCGGTAGGCTGTTGGTCGACCAAGATTTCTTTAGTCGAGCAGTAGCAAAAAAAGTATAATACTCATGGTGTACAAGACACCAGTCTTTTTCGCGTGGACTGATCCATTGTGGAGGCTGTGGGGATGGCACAGTCCATCAGTCTCAGACATGTGCTACTGAAATTGTATATGGTTATATTACATAAGACAAATGGTGCAACACTAATACAAATAATATTATTTTACAACAAATGCGCTTTCTCCCCCGTTGGATAGCGGTCGGTGTCCACAGTTCTGAAACACATGAGTGCGCTGTTGAATTGGCGCCTTTTCCTAGACCATGTTGCTATGTGCATTATAGCAAAGTTAACCAGCATATTAGTGTTGAGAACAATGCCGCGGAGGCAGCAGCAGAATTAGGAGATGAGAAAACAGCCCTTGCCTTATTGTCTAAGAAAAGTGAGGAGAGAGGAAAATCAAACTTAATTAGGTCTATAATCAATAGCCAAACTGTTAAATGTGCCTGGCTTTATAAATCATCAATATATCTACAGAAATAAGACAGACCCTGCTTCTGTTGCCTGTTTGGAGTGTTTGTTTATTAGCCTACTGATTCCGTGAGCACCAAGCCTCACACAATGACATGTCAAGTAAACAATTTCACAAATTCGGCTGTTTTTAATCTTTGCTTTGCTGTAATAAAGGCATAACACTTTTTTTCTTTCATTAGAACAGTCTCTCTGGTATTATTTATAATTTATTTAGTGTTTACAATCTCCTTTTTCTTGACCTCCTCCTTATTTTCCATAAATAGTCACATTTATTCCACACATCTGACTTTCCCTTTACCTCCTGAGCAACCTGTAAATATTCCCCCGTTTCGAGTTTATTTGTCACGTCCTCTGCATCTATTTTGCTGTCACATGTTACAGTGTTGAGTTTGTTATAACCAATTTATTGATGTGATTATGATATGCTATAGGCCAGGCCCTATTCTGACGGGATTAGTTTTACTGGGGGAGGTCGGGTAATGTAATTATTTGCAAGAACACAAAGCACAAAACACCACATCTGTCATTTTAGTCCCATCCGAATGTGCCATGTCAGTAATTTTTCCATGGCAAAAGAGTAACAATTCCAGCCAGAATAACCTACAGTTTTTTGGTGAAATCCAAGGTCCTCTGATCATACTAGTCCCGTGCGAATCAACATCCCTGTGTTTTGAGAGAAATGTCTGAGTTTGACTGGTGTTGCTTGCGGTTTGCGCAAGAAAACAATAACTGATTAGATAAATTGAACTAAGTATAAGCTATATATGAATGGCCTACATGTAACCTATCAACTCAGTGAATGATTTTGTTTATATGTTTTGTGCGTATGAATTGAATATTACCAAATGCATCAGTAAAAAATATTGAGCCTATTTAATGCAACCCTTGTTGTTAATAGATCGCAAAGCAGCAGCATACAACTGACCTAAACGTTTGAAAATGATAGTTAACGTTCTCATCCTTAGCCTTAAAATACATCTCAAGTGCAATTGCACTGTTTAGCTCACATCTGAAGGCTGGGGGACAGTACTGCAGATCGCTAAAATATCCTAATGATTATGATCACACTTCCTCAATTCAAATATTATGGCGACATTATAGGAAAGATGGTTTGGTGTGGTTTAGAAACCAAGCTTGAGATATCAGTGAGACCCTATCACCTAGACATGTTGAAATACTGTATCTTCACGCCTAGAATAAAAACCTCCAGGCTTCTGTCATAACTATCAACTCATAAAAATAATAAAGAATTACATGGGGCAGTTTGGAAAAAACGATTCCTGTCTGAATCGTCCATTGGAACAACTGACATTCTGGAGTAATAATTACATAACCAATGTTCTCTAGTAATACTAGTCCTGTGTGAATAGGTCTTTGGTCATGTGCATGCGCTGCATACATGTGTCACGTAAAGAGAGCAAGGGTTGAGGGAATAGGGAATGTTTTTCCTAAACAAATTAGGGATTTCGGTAACAGAACTTTTCAGTCAGTAATGGCTGTAGTTACAGTGCATTCGGAAAGTATTCAGACCCCTTGACATTTTCCATTATTCTAAAATGGATACAATTATTTTTATCCCCCTCAATCTACACACAATACCCCATAATGTAGTCCTGTGTAGCTCAGTTGGTAGAGCATGGCGTTTGCAATGCCAGGGTTGTGGGTTCGTTTCCCACGGGGGACCAGTATGAAACTCACTAACTGTAAGTCGCTCTGGATAAGAGCGTCTGTTAAATGACTAAAATGTCTAAATGACAAATCGAAAAACAGCTTTAGACATTTTTGCTAATATATTAAAATTAAAAACAGAAAAAACGTATTTACATAAGTATTCAGACCCTTTGCTATGAGACTCGAAATTGAGCTCAGGTGCATCCTGTTTCCATCGATAAACTTTGAGATGTTTCTACAACTTCATTGGAGTCGATCTGTGGTAAATTCAATTGATTTGACATGATTTGGAAAGGCACACACCTGTCTATATAAAAGGTCCCACAGTTGACAGTGCATGTCAGAGCAAAAACCAAGCCATGAGGTCGAAGGAATTGTCCGTAGAGCTCTGAGACAGGATTGTGTCGAGGAACAGAACTGGGGAAGGGTACCCAAAAATGTCTGCAGCATTGAAGGTCCCCAAGAACACAGCGGCCTCCATCATTCTTAAATGGAAGAAGTTCTGAACCACCAAGACTCTTCCTAGAGCTGGCCGCCCAGCCAAACTGAGCAATTGGGGAGAAGGGCCTTGGTCAGGGAGGTGACCAAGAACCCATTGGTCACTCTGACAGTGCTCCAGAGTTCCTCTGTGGAGATGGGAGAACCTTCCACAAGGACAACCATCTCTGCAGCAGTCCACCAATCAGGACTTTATGGTAGAGTGGCCAGAATGAAGCCACTCCTCAGTAAAAGGCAAATGACAGCCCGCTTGGAGTTTGCCAAAAGGCACCTAAAGGACTCTCAGACCATGAGAAACAAAATTGTCTGGTCTGATGAAACCAAGATTGAACTCTTTGGCCTGAATGCCAAGCGTCACATCTGGAGGAAACCTAGCACCATCCCTACAGTGAAGCATGGTGGTGGCAGCGTCATATTGTGGGGATGTTTTTCAGCGCTGGGACTGAAAGACTAGTCAGGATCGAGGGAAAGATGAACGGAGCAAAGTACAGAGAGATCCTTGATGAAATCCCCATCCGACTTGACAGAGCTTGTGACGATCTGCAGAGAAGAATGGGAGAAAGTCCCTAAATACAGGTGTGCCAAGTTTGTAGCGTAATACCCAAGAAGACTCGAGGCTGTAATCGCTGCCAAAGGTCCTTCAACAAAGTATTGAGTAAAGGGTCTGAATACTTATGTAAATGTGATATTTCAGTTGTTGTTTTTTTATATAAAGTTGCAAAAAATCTAAACCTCTTTTCGCTTTGTCATTATGGGGTATTGTGTGTAGATTGATGAGCAAAAAAACAAATGTAATCCATTTTAGAATAAGGCCGTAACGTAACAAAATGTGTAAAAAGTCAAGGGGTCTGAATACTTCCCGAATGCACTGTATGTTGTAGCTTCAGCAACACTGACAGCGCGATAAACACGTTTATGTTCTGTGTTGGTCGCTGCAGCAGGGAGGAGAGAGAGAGACAACGGGTGCTAGTCACAGTCACTCGCTGTGTTTTTTTTATTTTTTAAACCGTCTGAGCACAGCCCGGCACAATCAAATCAATTGCGGGTCGGACTCTCTCTAGTCATTTGTGTGTCTTAATTATTTAATCAAACCGTGTCATTAAAACAGACAAGCTCAGTGAATATAGTTGATTTGATTCAAACACATAGGATGTGTCAATATATGGAAAAATAAACGTTTAAACATTTCGACCAATCGATTGGCCGAAAGAACAGACAACTCTTCTTTTTTTTTGGTCGGGACAGCCCTAAACAAGTCAAACATATTTTGGACGTGTAAATGAGTTAACTGGTTGCTTATTAAGCATGTATGTCCTCACCAGTCTGTGAGGGGGGTCTGGGGTGCATCTGTCCACTGCTGCCGGGAACCATTGCCTGTCCAGACATACTGGGGCAAGGGGGGACCATCGATGGGTTGCTCATTCTCATGCCTCCTACGAGAGATTGGTATGGGAGTTGGTTTATATTTTAACAACTAAAAGACGAACAATGAATGGATAGAATTCATCTTGTCACTGTCCTGCCCCAAGTCACCTGTGCCTGGTTGTCCTGGGAATCCCAAATCCATCCTCATCTGACCGGATGCACCGATTGGTCCGTTCACCCTGACCTCCTGACCTCTGTTCTGCCCAATGGCCACGTTGATGGCTCCTTCACCTGGACGAAACAAACAAAAACAAATATTAACAACAATCAGGATCTACATTGCATTCGGAAAGTATTCGGACCTCTTGACTTTTCCCACATTTTGTTACGTTACAGCCTTATTCTAAAATGGATTATTATTTTTTTTATTTTCTTAAATCAATCTACAAACAATACCCCATAATGACAAAGCGAACAGAGGTTTAGATTTGTTTTTGCAAAAAACGGAAATATCACATTTACATAAGTATTCAGACCCTTTACTCAGTACTTTGTTGAAGCACCTTTGGCAGCGATTACAGCCTCAAGTCTTCTTGGGTATGACGCTACAAGCTTGGCACACCTGTATTTGGGGAGTTTCTCCCATTATTCTCTGCAGATCCTCTCAAGCTCTGTCAGGTTGGATGGGGAGTGTTGCTGCACAGCTATTTTCAGGTCTCTCCAGAGATGTTTGATCGGGTTCAAGTCCGGGCTCTGGCTGGGCCACTCAAGGACATTCAGAGACTTGTCCCGAAGCCACCCCTGCGTTGTCTTGGCTGTGTGCTTAGGGTCGTTGTCCTGTTGGAAGGTGAACCTTAGACCCAGTCTGAGGTCCTGAGCACTCTGGAGCAGGTTTTCACCAAGGATCTCTCTGTACTTTGCTCCCATTCCATCCAGCTGAAAAACATCCCTGACCAAGGCCCTTCTCCCCCTGATTGCTCAGTTTGGCTGGGCAGCCAGCTCTAGGAAGAACATCCCTGACCAAGACCCTTCTCCTCCTGATTGATCAGTTTGGCTGGGCAGCCAGCTCTAGGAAGAGTCTTGGTGGTTCCAAACTTCTTCCATTTAAGAATGATGGATGCCAGTGTGTTGTTGTGGACCTTCAATGCTGCAGATATTTTTTGGTACCCATCCCCAGATCGGTGCCTCGACACAATCCTGTCTCGGAGCTCTACGGACAATTCCTTTGACCTCGTGGCTTGGTTTTTGCTCTGACATGCACTGTCAACTGTGGGGCCTTATATAGACAGGTGTGTGCCTTCCCAAATCATGTCAAATCAATTGAATTTACCATAGGTGGACTCCAATCAAGTTGTAGAAACATCTCAAGGATGATTAATGGAAACAGGATGCACCTGAGCTCAATTTTGAGTCTCATACCAAAGGGTCTGAATACTTATGTAAATAAGGTATCAGTATTTTTATTTTTAATACATTTGCACACATTTCTAAAAACCTGTTTTCACTTTGTCATTATTGGGTATTGTGTATAGATTGATGAGAGAAAACAATAATTTTATCAATTTTAGAATAAGGCTGTAATGTAACAAAATGTGGAAAAAGTCAAGGGGTCTGAATACTTTCCGAATGCACTGTAAGTACTTTTCAGGATGCTTACTATAAAATAATCCATACATTTTGGGCTTGATCATACCCATGGCTGCTGCTATCTGGGTACTGTACATACCCTCTATCTGTACAGAAAGGATGCCCAGGTCTCGGAGCTGCTGCTGGTTGTTCTGGGCCAGCAGCCTGAGGCGCTCTGCCGCGTCCCGGGGAATGTTAAAGGTGACACGCACACTGTTCCACGGCTCCACACGCTGTGGCTGCAGTCTGTCTGAGTCTGGAGAAGGATAGGAAGACATGGAGAAAGACAGGATGAGACGGGGGGTTGGGGGGAAGGAGTACAATATCTCAATATCACTGTTCATTATCAGTATAGAAATAATACAGAGCTCTGAAATGATGGCTTTCAACATTTTCTAACTACTTTCATAATACATTCAAAAGTAGGAAACTGTTAGAAAGGTGCACCACATCACCAACCATTACTAACCCAATTCAAGCATACTAGGCATCCTTTTAAGTATGTGGTCAAGTTTCTCTTGGAAGTCCTCATCATCCATGTTTCCCCGAAAGGAAACAAAGATGTTGAAATCTCCCTCTTCCCCTCCGCCTCTCTCTCCAACTCCCTCCTGCCGGTGCGAAATGTCATTGCCATGGTGAACGCCAGCATCCTCTCCGACTCCAGAGTCCCGGTCGGAATCTGAGTCAGGGTCCCCATCTGGGACTGCTGTCCACTGGGGAAGCTCTGTTGTGGGGTGTTGATGTGCCATCCTCCCCTCTCAGTAGGACTGGCGTGGGGAAGACTGGAACCGTTTATGCTGTAGAACCAAAAGAGAACGTTACCTCTAAAGATATGCCCAATTGAGACAAATATTATATGTGATTCAATTACATGTAAATCCATGAAATGTCATGCAAAATTTTTTATTTTCAATGCAAAGAACATACAGTGCATTCGGAACGTATTCAGACCCGTTGACTTTGTCCACGTTTTGTTACCTTACAGGCTTATTCTAAAATGGATTTAAAAAAAAATAATAATCCTCCTCAATCTATACACAATACCCCATAATGACAAAGCAAAAACAGGTTTTTAGAAGTTTTTTCAAATGTATATAAAAAAAAAAAACTTAAATAATCACATTTACATAAGTATTCAGACCCTTTACTCAGTACTTTGTTGAAGCACCTTTGGCAGCGATTTCAGCCTCAAGTCTTCTTGGGTCTGACGCTACAAGCTTGGCACAACTGTATTTAGGGAGTTTCTTCCATTCTTCTCTGCAGATCCTCTCAAGCTCTGTCAGGTTGGATGGGGAGCGTCGCTGCACAGCTACTTTCAGGTCTCTCCAGAGATGTTCGGACGGGTTCAAGTCCGGGCTCTGGCTGGGCCACTCAAGGACATTCAGAGACTTGTCCCGAAGCAGCCACTCCGTTGTTTTGGCTGTGTGCTTAGGGTCATTGTCCTTTTGGATGGTGGACCTTCGCCCCCAGTCAGAGGTCCTGAGCGCTCTGGAGCAGGTTTTCACCAAGGATCTCTCTGTACTTTGCTCTGTTAATCTTTCCCTCAATCCTGACTAGTCTCCCAGTCCCAGCCGCTGAAAAACATCCCCACAGCATGATGCTGCCACCACCATGCTTCACCATAGGGATGGAGCCAGGTTTCCTCCAGACGTGACGCTTGGCATTCAGGCCAAAGAGTTCAATCTTGGTTTCATCAAATCAAATTGTGTTTGTCACATGCGCCGAATACAAAAGGTATAGACCTTACAGTGAAATGCTTACTTACAAGCCCTTAACAAACAATGCAGTTTTAAGAAAGAATACACCCCCCCCCCCAAAAAAAAAATATATATACAATATAAAATAAAAGTAACAAACATTAAAGTGCAGCAGTAAAAATAATAATAGCGAGGCTATATACAGGGGGTACGGAGTCAATGTGCGGGGGCACCGGTTAGTCGAGGTAATTGAGGTAATATGTACATGTAGGTAGTTATTCAAGTGACTATGCATAGATAATAAACAGAGAGTAGCAGCAGCGTAAAAGTGGGGAGTCTATGGCTTAGGGGTAGAAGCTGTTTAGAAGCCTCTTTGACCTAGACTTGGCTCTCCGGTACCACTTGCCGTACCAGATAATTGTGTTTCTCATGGTCTGAGAGTCCTTTAGGTGCCTTTTGGCAAACTCCAAGTGGGCTGTCATGTGCCTTTTACTGAGGAGTGGCTTCCGTCTAGCCACTCTACCATAAAGGCCTGATTGGTGGAGTGCTGCAGAGATGGGAGAACCTTCCAGAAGGACAACCATCTCCCCAGAGGAACTCTGGAGCTCTGTCAGAGTGACCATTGGGTTCTTGGTCATCTCCCTGACCAAGGCCCTTCTCCCCCGATTGCTCAGTTTGGCTGGGCAGCCAGCTCTAGGAAGTCTTGGTGGTTCCAAACTTCTTCCATTTAAGAATGATGGAGGCCACTGTGTTCTTCAATTCTGCAGACATTTTTTGGTAGACTTCTCTAGATCTGTGCCTTGACACAATCCTGTCTCGGAGCTCAATGGACAATTCCTTTGACCTCATGGCTTGGTTTTTGCTCTGACATGCACAGTCAACTGTGGAACCTTATATAGACAGGTGTGTGCCATTCCAAATAATGTCCAATCAATTGAATTTATCACAGGTGGACTCCAATCAAGTTGTAGAAACATCTCAAGGATGATCAATGAAAACAGGATTCACCTGAGCTCAATTTCATAAACTTTGTCATTATGGGGTATTGTGTGTAGATTGATGACAGAAAAAAATAAGTTAATTAATTTTCGAGTATTGCTGTAACGTAACAAAATGTGGAAAAAGTCAAGGTGTCTAAATACTTTCCGAATGCACTGTAAGTGTCAATTAGGGCTGTCTCCGACAAAAAAAAAAAATGTGTCGACCAATAGTTGTCTGTTCTGTCGACCAATCGATTGGTCGCCTTTTTTAAACCTGTATTTTTTCCAGATATTGACACATCGTATGTGTTTTATTAAAATCAACTATATTCACTGAGCTACATTCTCTGATGCTTTAAGCACACGGTTTGATTAAATAATTAAGACACACAAATGACTAGAGGAAGTCCGACCAGCAATAGATTTGATTGTGCTGGGCCGGACTCAGACTGTGTAAAAAAAAACAAAAAAAACACAGCGAGTGACTGTGACTAGCACCCGTTGTCTCGCTCTCTCCTTCCTGCTGCAGCGACCACCACAGAACATCAAAGTGTTCATCGCGCTGTCCGTGTTGGTGAAGTTAACATAATTACAGCCATCTCTGACTGAAAAGTTCTGTTACCGAAATCCCTCATTTGTTTAGGAAAACATTTCCTATTCTCTCAACCCTTGCTCTCTACGTGACACATGTATGCATCGCATACACGTGACCAAAGACCTATTTGCACAGGACTAGTATTACAATAAAACGCTAGTTATGTAATTATTATTACTCCAGAATGTCAGTTATTCCAGAGGATGATTCGGACGGGATGAGTTTTTTCCCTGTAATTCTTTCTTTTTTCCCAATAAAGTGACAGTTATGACGCAAGCCTGGAGGTTTTTATTCCAGGCGTGAAGATACAGTATTTCAACATGAACCATCTTTCCTATAGTGTCGCCGTAATATTTCAATTGAGGAAGTGTGATCTTAATCATTAGGATATTTTAGCGATCCGCAGTACGTCCTAAATGACCCCCAGCCTTCAGATGTCAGCTAAACAGTGCATTTTAAGGCTAAGGGTGAGAAAGTTAACTTATCATTTCCAAATGTTTAGGTCAGTTGTACGCTGCTGCTTTGCGATCTATTAACAACAAAGGGTTGCATTAAATAGGCTCTATATGTTTTACTGATGCATTTGGTAATATTCAATTCACACGCACGAAACATATAAACAAAAGTATTCACTGTGACAGTTGATAAGCTATATATGAATAGCCTACATGTAGCCTATGCGCAGCACTTACTTCAGATTTAATCGAAACAGTTATTGTTTTCGTTGCCAAAAAAAAGCAGGTTATTCTGGTTGGAGTAAAAAAAAAATCACTGACATGGCAGATTCGGACGGGACAAAAAAATACAGATGTGGTGTTTTGTGCTCAAGCACATAAATTACATTACCCGACCTCCCCCAGTAGAACTAATCCCGTACGAATAGGGCACAATAGGGCCTGACCTATAGCCTGGGTCGGTTTGTACCCTTTTGCAGCCATAGGAGACCAAAAAATGCCACTCCCCCAAAAACAATAATAGTCCCAGTAAGTGAAGTTGAAAAGACGTCTAAATTATGTATTTTCCAGACGTTGAAGTTAGGTTTAATTTGGGTTCTGAATGAAAAGTGAAAAGGTATTTTCCGTATGTCATTTATAGACGTCTATGTTTGTACCAAATCAAGGCTGGTCCAGAACGGAGAAAATGTGAAACATACATAAATGTCTATGATTGGTTCAGAATTGGTTCGTACCGGACCAAAAACCAATGTCCGTGGATGTGGAAATCAAGGCCAGTCCGGAACTGCACAAAAAAAATTACTTTGGTCAGTCCTTACTGGAAGTGTAGCATACAGTGTTGCCTGAAATTAGATTTTCTGAATGCCCATTTTACTGTTTGTAAAACACAAAAAAACGATGACCGGACAGGACCAAAAAAGAAGTCCAAAAGACATCTTCTCATGCTTACTAGGTTGTAGCCTACCATGTCAGCCCACAATGGAATTTTATGAATGTCCATCCATGTGGTAGGCCCAACATTTGTAAAACAGGCCATTGTGTTGGCTTTATTAGTCCTGATTCAAATTAAATTAAATTGTATTTGTCACATGCGCCGAATACAACAGGTGTAGACTTTACAGTGAAATGCTTACTTACAAGCCCTTAACCAACAATGCAGTTAAGAAAAATAAGTGTTAAGTAAAACAAATCTATACAGTATCTCACAAAAGTGAGTACACCCCTCACATTTTTGTAAATATTTGAGTATATCTTTTCATGTGACAACACTGAAGAAATTACACTTTGCTACAATGTAAAGTTGTGAGTGTACAACTTGTATAACAGTGTAAATTTGCTGTCCCCTCAAAATAACACAACAGAGCCATTAATGTCTAAACTGCTGGCAACAAAAGTGAGTACACCCCTAAGTGAAAATGTCAAAATTGGGCCCAAAGTGTCAATATTTTGTGTGGCCACCATCATTTTCCAGCACTGCCTTAACCCTCTTGGGCATGGAGTTCACCAGAACTTCACAGGTTGCCACTGGAGTCCTCTTCCACTCCTCCATGACGACATCACAGAGCTGGTGGATGTTAGAGACCTTGCACTCCTCCATCTTCCATTTGAGGATGCCCCACAGATGCTCAATAGGGTTTAGTTCTGGAGACATGCTTGGCCAGTCCATCACCTTTACCCTCAGCTTCATTAGCAAGGCAGTGGTCGTCTTGGAGGTGTGTTTGGGGTCGTTATCATGTTGGAATACTGCCCTGCCGCCCAGTCTCCAAAGGGAGGGGATCATGCTCTGCTTCAGTATGTCACAGTACATGTTGGCATTCATGGTTCCCTCAATGAACTGTAGCTTCCCAGTGCCGGTAGCACTCATGCAGCCCCAGACCATGACACTCCCACCACCATGCTTGACTGTAGGCAAGACACACTTGTCTTTGCACTCCTCACCTGGTTGCCGCCACACACGCTTGACACCATCTGAACCAAATAAGTTTATCTTGGTCTCATCAGACCACAGGACATGGTTCCAGT